TAATCTAATGTGAAATGACTATAAATTTTCATCTGTGACCATTATTTACAAGATATTCTGCAGGGTCATAACATCTATAAACTACCTAAATTCCAAACTGCTTGGAGAAGCAAGCCAACATCTACGTTATCGTCTAAGCGTTACGTACACCAAAGGGCAGAATTCTTGCCAGCACAACAGGATAAACTATTTTTCTCTGCAAAAGACAAAAGGCAATAAACAAGGCACTTATTTTTGTGACCGCATAAAAAAACCCCAAAAGCAACACCGCACTGAAACAGCCAAACAGCTTAAAATATATTGCATTCTGTTTACCTATCTCAGGAGGTGAGGCATGATCAAATATTTCCCTAGCTATATCCTACCACATTCAGAAGGGGACATCGAAAGGCAAACGTCTTCAGTTAAGACATAGCTATGCAACAGCACACGTCACACATCTCTAGCAGTGACTTGCTTCAACCTGCAACACAAGAAATCAGAAAAGATGTATCACTACAGTTCTTCGAGATTTCTATAGTCAAGATTTATCTCCATCCCCAGCAGGGAAATAACATAAAAGTTCTCCTTTCTGTTGAACTATATACGTATTTCCACGGAAGGCGGGGTTGTTTTGTTTTGTATCATTTAAGAGTCAGTAGCCAAAGTTCTGTACTTTGATCTCAAATCACGGCACTCTTTCACCCCTGTGCGTGGCCATCAGAGCCAACTCGCGCCGTCAGCGGCTGGGTACTCGCGGCGTGAGGCGGCTGCCCGGTGCCGGCGGCCAGCACGGCCGGGGAAGGACCGCGCTCGCCCCGTGCCGCCGGGGCGCGGGCCGGCGCCAGGGAAGCGCCTGGACGCTTCGCGCGGCCCGGGGCCGCTGCCGGAGCGCTGGCGCGCGCTCGGGCCGTGCCCCGTGAGGGGACCCCCCCGCTCCACCGCCCGCCTCCCGCCGGCCCGGCCTCGTGGGCGGGGGCGGGGACGCGGAGCGGAGCCGTCACCCGGGGCTCGGCGGAGCTCCGAAAGGGACGTTGCGCTCGGAGGCACCGCCTGGGTCGGTTCCCGCCGTTGGGCTGTGAGGAGGCGGGGCGAGAAGGTGACAGCAGAAATGAGGCGTGGGAGCGGCCCGAGAAGCGCGGAGCCCCGGAGTGACGCTCTCGTTCTGCCGGCGTGCTCGGGGAGCGCAGGGCCGGGCGCGGAGCTCGGCCGTTCCCTGCGGTGGTGGCTGAAGCTGTGCGCGTTCTTGGCATGGGAACACGTGTGAGCGCGACAGAGCCCTCGTTGTGTTACACCGAAGTTTTTAAACTGAGAATTTAAAAACTGGAGTGGGTTCTGGGGCAGATAGCTCCCTGAGAAGAGGTCTTCGTATGGCGTGTTTCGTCTGCCTTGCAGAGTTCTTCAGACACTTGGGCGCGTGTTGCTGTTCCTTATTCCTGATCTGCGGAGATCTGCGGCAGGCTCTGCTTGATCTCTGAGGGCACGAAAAGAATGAGATCAGTGAGTAGGCAGGAACTGGATCCGCCAGGGGATGCAGGAACAAGCTGTTCTTCATTCCGCAATTAGGCGCCATTAACTTGCGGGAGCACGTAGCGGCGCCCCGCGGGTGATGGGTGCGCTGCCGCCGCGCTCTGAGCGCCGGCCCTGCCCGCTCCGGGGAACGGGGCTCTGCCCTGCCCCTCCCGCGGAAAGAAATGCAGCTTTTGGAATCTTCCAGGCTGCTTACAAGCTTCTCTTAGTGTCCCTACCCAAGATGGGCACAGTAAAAAGTTTTATTTTCACTGAACACGTATCTCTAGTGGATCCGCTAAAGGAGAAGTTTGCGCGCTGGACACATTTCTTAACTTTTTTTTCCCTCCCCGGTATTATGCTTGGTACTGGGAGGAAAATCCATTGCAATTTATGTAATTGGACCGGGTTGGTAATCCAAATGAGATTTCTTTATTTAGCAGCCTCTTTACAGAAGTATCCACCTTTATGTAGGTCGGGAAGTGAATAAAGGCCGGGACCGGGCGTACGTCACAGCAAGTGATTCTGCAAACTGTGTGTGAGGAAAGTTCTGTGTTCGGTGTCCTTTTGCCCTTTTGTTAAACGGAAATCGTTTAACAAAATCCCACTAAATGGGATGTTTTGGTCCAGCCGTTAAATACTCTTGTTTATGTAAATAGGTAAGATTCTACAGGACTTCTCAGGATTTGTGGTTGTAGATTTACCAGCAAAGATCCAAACCAGAAATATGAAATTCATACCTAGAGAAAATGAGATTGCTGCATAGCTGACACAAGCTAAATGATGCAGCACTTTTCAGGGCAACAAATGCCCGGTTTTGCTATTTAAAGGAGAAATGTGAGTGATTTGCCTTTTGCCATTCTGCATCTAAGACTGAAAGGTTAGCAGGAGCTGTGACACAGAGCAAATGGAGGAAACCACTTCATTTGTTATCTTCTAAACTTCCTTTTTCCTTTATTTGTGAACCCAACGGGGTAGTAACTGTGAATAACTACACAGTGAAATGGATTTTAAATATTGGCTTTCATTGTGCAATGTGTCCTCTGACCAGCATGTGGGGATATGCCCAAGTAGTTGAAGAGAACATTATATGCCCACTATAATTTTATACAAGGAAAAGTCACTTGGTATAACTGGCTAAAACATTAAATAAAAATATATAAAGCATGAAACAACACAGTGTTGCACAAATCTCAACTTCCTTCTGCAATAGACATAGCTATTTTATTTTAAAGAATTATATTAATCCTAACATCAAATTACTGTAAAGTGAATAATTCAAGTGTCTTCAAATAACGTACAAGCCATATTTTTATTCCACATATTGTATATCTTAGCAAATTTGCTTTTTTGTGCCGGAGAAGCACATATCCTACCGACCATGCCTTAGCACCTTGTGGGATCCCCTTCCTGGGGCTGAAGGCACGCAGGCAGTGGGGGGAAGAGGATGTGTGCTGTGGTGCCATCCTGCACCAGCCAGCACGGAGCCTGCCACTCTGGGCTTCTGCAGTGAGGTGCCTGCACCTCAAAATTCCCGATGTCCATTCTAGTACCTGCAAAAAAAACCCTCAGAGGTGCAAAGTCCAGTGAAAGCAAGAAAAGTAAATCTGCTTTACTTCAGGGAAGGAATTTATTTCCTTGTAAGTGCCTTAGCCCTGAGGGTTTCCTATTACCATTGCACAGTCTTCTTATTGATGGTCACAACAAGCAAGAAACTATTTTCAGTTCCCCTGCCATAATTAAAATAGTAATGCTTGGCTACTGCCTGGTGATAGCTGTCAGCACAACTGTGGTTTTTAAATTGTACCCCAGTTAATCCTCCACTGAGATAATAAGAAAATGAGAAAAGAATCATATCTAGGGTTAACTAATATGTCCTTTATGCTTGATTACTAGAAAACATCTTTCAGTTAATATACATGTTTTTGGTATAAAACATAATATACATTTAATTTATAATATACATATAATATATCTTGACTACAGTGTTACGGCATAAAGCTTTCTGTATAATTAATAACAGACACACTCTGCTCTCTGCCTCCATTTTCTCCTGGCAACAGCCAGGACATACTTTATAAACTTCAATTCCACATTTCAAACCCCTTTGCTTTATTCTTTGATGTGTCACAGACTACAGAAAATAGAAATGGGTGTCCAGAACAGCTGATAACATGAAATTCGAGATGTCTGCATTTTGCTGTGAGAAACTACCTACCTTTGTGTGAAGCCTTTGTGTAGAATATTCTTGATTAGAACAAAGAAAAGGCTTTAGAATGCAAATAGGCTTGCAAACAAGGGATGGTCAGACCCTTTTGTGCCATTTCAGTTTCACATTTCATCCTCAGATTCTTCACAGTGTCCATGTAGAGAACTCACATATAAAGAGTATGTGTTTTCTATGCTCTGCCATGGCTCAGTGTAGTTCTCTCTCTGCCCACCCTGCTCACAAACAGTTCTGGTTAGCTCAAATGCAAATGCGCTTACCAGGAAGACCAATCATTTATTAATTGATGGCAACATGCTGAAACCAACTGAACAGTTTTTTACCTGTTTGTGAATATAAATCACTATAAAAATACTCAACTGACAACATTGCAAGTTCTGTGGTTAACCCAAGGCATCTGATAAAGGGAGCTGGTTAAGGGACAACTGAGGAGACACCTTCAAATTAAGATAAGCAAAACCAAAAACCTGCAACTCCCCCCCACTCCCCTCATCCTCTCAGGCCACAAACCATAGCTGAAATAGCCAAAAGAAAGCTATTCATAGGATGATGAATGCAAAGAAAATGAAACAGCAGTGAAGGGTGAGGATGAGCCCTGGACATGAAGTCTATAATGAAGGAAACAAGCTGACCTTTGTGTTAGGGATGAAGCTCTTGCATTCACGAACCGTTGTGTGGATCCAGTGTCCCCAAGCCCACACAAGCTGGCACTGAGTGACTCCCCTGTGCCCTGGCAGTATGGCAGCAGCCACACAAGTGCTGAGGCACCTGCAGGTTGGGGCTGAAGATGCTGAACATTTTTGAGCATCCTACACAGAGTGTTGGGAGTGCAGCCCCTTCCCACATGTGGCATATTTTCTTCCTATTGAAGTGATGTTTCACACTATTTCATGTATTTTTCTGTTATAAATAGACCAGCAGGCCAGGTGCTAAGTGAGCACAAAAATTCCCATTTAATCTTTTGGGTTTTCTTGGTTTAAGAGATGGATGCTGAAACACCAGTTCCCATGTCATTAAACTGAGCTTTTGGTCAGGCCAAAAGTGACCTTTGATTTTTAAGATGCAATCCTTCAGGAACACAATATCAATAATTGAGCATGCCCTGCAGAGACTGATTTGGTAACATGCTGAACCTCAGCTTATAAAATAGCTGCAAGTGGTGCCACATGCTGCTGGTTCTGACATGACACTGTGCCTTTGCAGGGCAGCATGATGAAGCACCCTAAAATTAGCCTTCTTACTATTTCGTAAAGAGCAGGCAGAAAGGTAGCAGCCTGCACTGAGGAGAACAAAGAGGCACAGGAGAGGACCAGAAGTGAGGCTCACACACAGCCTGGTCACAACAATTCATGGTGAGCACTCTTGGCTTCTTTGCAGATTTCCATGTTCAGGGTAATGGCTTATCCCAAGCGCAGGCTGACCTGAGTGGGAAGAAAGAAAGGTGCTTTTGTAAACAGAGGTGGGGAGGAGAGACCTGTTCTTTCAGGGGGATTGGGATTCAGCAGAAGGGAAAACTAACTGAAAATTACATGGATGGTCTCTTTTAAGGATGTGGTGGGAGCTGGCATTAAATTCACAAAACCAGGTTTGTTGTTACTGGAATATAACTGGGAGTGGAAGAAAAAAATGGGCCGATATGAAAATCAGAAACTGCATGAAAAAGTCCCTTTCTATTGAGCCAGACTGATTTTGTTCTGATACTCCATTCTATCTCTACCCCACTTACTGCACATTAAAGTCCTTCGCTTTACAATGAGTAAGATTTGAGAGAAAAAAAAACAATCCAACTTCCAGGCAGTAGGAAGATAGAGGTGTGGATGTGTTAGTGCAGAGGAACAGAAAGAGTGGAGGAAAAGAAACGGTGAGGAAACATTTGAGTATGTTCAGAGGGCACAAAAGGAAGGCATGCCATGAAAGGGATGTGAGCACTGACTGCTGGGAGGGAAGGGGGCACAGCACACGTCTCTAGGAAGCAGGGGACCCCCCAGCAGCTGGATGGGACAGCCTGTGTCCTCATGCCTAAACAATTGTCAGTACATGCTGTTTTCTCTATTCCTGTAGTAGCACCCTGCGAAGAATAGCTGGGAAGAAAATAACACTAGGGCGTAAACTGTGCCTGGTACATTCAAACTACATACAGCTGTTTCTGCTATTAGTTATCACTCAGAAATATGGGACTGTTTTGCAACACAGGTATTTTTGTTCAGTAAAGATGATTGGACAGTATTCTGCAGCTTTTGTAATTTAATTTGGGACAATATTATGATTTCACATGTATTACCAAAAGCCAGAGAGGCAGGATTTTATAAGAACTCTTTTGTGCTGTTAGCAACCAACAGATATTTGGTGAAGCAAGGACTGAAATGTGTCAAAGTGGGAGTGAATCTATGACATTTGCATCAACTACGGTACAGGACATCTCTGTTCATAAAGGGGATAGAATATTCACTGTGGTCAAAGAGTCTTGGACAGACTGAAAATTAAATTTCTCTTGTAGATGTTAAAAAGTTCCACAGAAATTGTATGTGAGCAATCAGAGCTTGGAGTCCTTGAAGGACTATAACTCTAAATTTTCTATAATGTAAGTCTCAACCTTGGCATTAGAATAAAAAAAAAATTTGGAGATAGAAGGTGAGCTGTATGATCTGAGCAATCAAATCCTCATAACTCTCTGAAAAATGGAATCACTGCTGCTCCCTACACACAATTCCTATGTAGAGAAACCCAGTGACTCCTCATGTTCCCAGAGGTCTCCTAAGTCAATATTTACTTTATTTAGGAAAGAAAAATTGCCACAAATTAGTAATCTTTTGTTTCTGTTTACTGACACTGAAGTGATGCAAAGTGGTGTCAATTTTGTTGTTGATTTTTTAGTATGAGTGATTTGGATGCTCCTATTTCACTGCAGAAGGCTTTGGGTCAATGTTTTTGGGATAATGTTTCCTTGTTTATTTGGTCTACCAGCACAGAACAAACTGCTTTCATTTAGAACTTCAAGCTTGAAAGGAGAAGCCAGAGCAACTGTATATCTTTTGGAAGCAGAAACAGCAGAGCAGCCAAATGTGCCAAGCCTCCATTGCATTTAGCTGTGCCTTTTTCTTGGACAGGGGAGGAGGTAGCAGTGATTCATCACCTGTGTCTGCCTGATGAAGGCTTTCTTGTCATTCATGTCAGCAAGTCACCAGGACACCACTAAATATGATCACTGGTCCCAGTCAGAAATGATCATTTCAGGGGCACTGGATACTCCCCACTTTACACAAACATATTTGTTTTCATAGAAAATAATACAGAGATCTTTTCAGCTCCTGGTCAAGGTTCTAGAGCAGAAAAATTACTCCTAGAATACACAGAATGAATTTGAGAGGAGCCCTGGAGATTTAAGTGAGATTGTTCCTGAGACTGTCTCAGGAAAAGACAGAGCATTTCAAGAGGATCCGACTGGCACAGCAGCTTCTGTTCACCCCGTGGCCCAGTGGAGATTACAGGAGAGTCAGCTTGAAACACCAACCTCCTCAGAAAACAGTTACACATCATATTTTAGCCAATAGACTTGTCAAAAAATATTGTGTCCGAATGTGATATAATTTCTGCAAATACAAACAATTCAATACAAACACTATTAGGTGCTTCTGGCTTATAGCAAACTCAGTCAGGCTTTTTAAGAGAGTATCAATATTACAAATTAAATTCCTTTGATTATAACTTTTTTTTTTTTTTTTTTTTAATAAAATGAAGGAAAGGAATGCTTATTTGTCTCATGAACAAGTGGTTGCTTTGTAGCAAGCAGCCATAGGATTAAAAATCACTTTTCTGAGAGGCTAGTGATGTGGTCTTTATCATTTTCCCTGACCTCTTGTTCAAGCTTGAGCTTCTAAATAGTTCATCACCATGATAAACCTGTTTGTGTTGTCTTCTGTGTTTACAATAACCATAAGCATCAAAATAGTCTGTTCATAACTATAATAGTCCTGCAGAATTATAACAGGCAAGAAATGTTCCATTTATAGCCATTACAAACACTTGTAATTTCCAGTGTGTTGTATCAGCAATGACCCCTCAAGAATCCAGTATTTGGGATTAAAGTGCCTGGACATTTTCAAGTCAAATTGTGTTATCTTTTGGCAAAGTTTTAGTTTAGGATAGTTAATAACAACACATACAGTTTTAAAATCTTCATTTTTGAAACTTCTCACACCAGTTGTTTTACAGCTAATTTTGATTGGATACAGAATTATTTGCCCAAGTAACAACAAAACAGATACTGTTATTATAATGATTTCTGATGTTTTCTTAAAAACCCACAGCAAGTTAGAAGAAATACCATTTGACAAGTGGAATTAAATGGATTTAAAAATATAATTTAAGTATACATATTTTGAAATGAAATTTAAAAGCTCAAGGATTATCAAATAAATTTATGTTTATAGTTATATTTCAAGAAGCTTAAATTTTTTAAAAATTAATTTTTGATATCTTAAAGATTCAAACAGCATGCTTGAATTTGCTGTAACTCCTTTGGACGTATATTGATCAACATAAAGAGAATAAAACTAGAGACTAGTAATATATTCCTCATAAAATATTTTCTGATGTAAACCTTTGGCTTCCTCAAATCCTGCATCTTAGGATCTGGACCAGGGAGAGCTTCACATCTCTGCAAAAGATCCAAAGGTTTTCTCTTGTGCCTCAGAAATAGACACCAAGTATTTCAGGATCAGGAAGCATATGTGGAGTTTCTTTCCTGAGTTTTCCAAGCCCAGGAAACAATCCTGTCTGGAGCCCTGTTACCCCTCCTTGGTAATTCCAGTGACACAACTGAAAGGAGCCTGTGGGAGCACACAGAAAGTCACTGCACCTGCAAGAGACTGTCCTCAGAGTGCTCATTTTGGGAGTCAGATTGTCCACTGGCTCCTGGATTTTCAACTTTATTTATCTTGATTACAGCTGGGAAAACTCTGGAAGTTCTCCCTGCTGAGTCCTTCCTCTTCACCTGCCCCAGCCACTCAAAGCCATCATTTTCCCTGCTTCCCTTTCCTCTAAGTCAAACCCTGAGACAGGTCAATTATTTCTCTGTGGAAGTCAAAGGTTATATTTTTAAATATTTAATGAAAATATAGTCTTGGTCTTCATATCCTTTGACCTTCCAAACTAGTAAATATTTCTTCATAAAATAGATGTTTTCTTGATTTACCATGTTGTCCTGATTTAACATTTAAGAGCATTACATCTAAAATTTGGTTCAAATGTTGAATTTCCACAGACCCACATCACCAATTAAGCATGGCAGAAAGGTTTTGTTGTGCTTTAAAAGGCATTTGCTAATCAGATTAAATGAAAAACACTTATCATATTTGCATTTTCTTTCTAAGTATCACAATTTGAAGTCACCTATATTCTTCCTTTTCTAAAGCAAAAGGAAAAAGTGAGACATTTAAAAAAGGGTTTCCAAAGGCGCCCTAGCCAGAAAGAGAATTCCTTTCTATAACTGGTGGCATAGCACAAAGCATTAATATATATCACTGATGTACCAGTTGATCTAAACTTGGCTCGTTATATGCATGGTTTATCAGATCACAATGTATTTTAAACCCTGTGATAGATCTTTTGACTCCTTCTGTTGAGTAAATAATGTTTTGACTGGTATGAAATTATATGGTTCTGGAGACTGTCATCTGAGTAAGCAGAACCACTGGCCTGGGAAAGTATTAATTGATATTTCTGATTGCAAGGTGACTTATTTGAAATAAATTAGAGGTCTTATTTAAGGTCCTAAAAGAAAAGGCATAGCCTCCTTTTTTTTTTTTTTTTTTTTCCCTTATCCTCACTCTTTCTCTGTCTTCTGTATTTATGAAAAAGTCACAAATAGCTTTGGCACAGCTGACCATCTGCTTGGCTAGTCAGAATGGCCAGTGCCTCACACTGTTGTTGCTCTGAGGGAATTTTCTGGGTCGTGGTCATGTAAGTGAGCTTACATTACCTGAATGCCATTTGTTCTTCAGCTAAACAATGATTCTGATACTGATGGTGTTTCATAAGCTGGTACTAAGAATTTCCTTTGATCCTCCTCTCTGTGGCTTCTGAAAATTTGCTTGTGTTTTGACATGAAAGACCTTTTTTTAAAATTAAATCTATCGAATCTGTCAGTAGAGTTGTATCCCTAAAACCCCCAGGTGTTCTGAAGCTCCATCAGTATCCAGATAACATTTTGCAGCGCATCGTCATACACATTTTTACCGCTGACGCTATAACGCGAGTCAGTTTAGTGTTACAATGCGACATTTAAAGCGGGAAGGTGACTCAGTGGCCCGAGGGAAGGCGTTCCAGACAGATGAGGCAGCGCAAGGGACAC